ACAATGCTAGGCCGCACACGTCTTTGTCCACTCGGCAAAAATTCATGGATATTGGTTGGGAATCGATGTTACACCCGCCATATAGCCCTGATCTCGCGCCATCGGATCACCACTTATTTTGATCCCTCTACAACTCCCTTCGTGGTAAAACTTTTAACGACGACGACGCTGTCAAATCTCACTTAACTCAGTTTTTGGCCGAAAAGGATCAGACTTTCTACGAGCGTGGAATTTTCAAGTTGTCAGAGAGATGGCAAGAGGTCGTCGAACAAAATGGAAAATACATTACAGATTAAACTTCGTTCCAAGTAAAAAACAATTTTTTATTTCATCGAACAAATCGGCAATTACTTAGTTGCCAACCCAATACATGACAAAGTGCGTTTTATGCATATGAAATTTAGTCTTGTGACTCGTACAACAGTTAGACTCTTAATAACACTTTTTACATCTAAACTTTGATAATATGAAAATTATCCTGGACCGTGATATAACAATTTTTTTTTTTAGTGGTGCCTCAGAGTCACCGCTCGAGTGCAAAGGGTTAAATGAGGGATCCACTGTGTCGCGTTTCGATGAAATTGAACGCGCAAAATCTGTGCAACGAGAATATCTTCTGTACAGATAACAGCTTCTTCGAATTTCCCTCGAACCTTTACCATCTTTTCGCGCCGAGAGCTCTAATCGCGCGCTGCTTCTTGCTCCGTGATGCTCGCTCGAGCGATTAAATTCGATTATTCCAGGGGCCCGAGAGAAAGAAAAGTTCGCGAGGAATGAATCTGTTCTAAATAAGAGGGAACACCGATACCGAGTTCGGTATGCGGCGGTACAGTAGATCCGATAAAAAAAATTCGTCTTCCAAAGGAAAAGTGGGTCCCGCCGCCAGCCCGTTTCCATATATGCAGATATCTTAGGAGACAGCTCCTTTCACGCAAGGTTAGTAAAGTTCGTTCTGAAACCTGTTCTTGTTTTGTCGTAGGCATCGACAGGCCTCGGTCAGCTTCCTATTTTAAACGTATTTGAAACGTGTCTCGTACGAGAAACGTGCACGCGGCCCGCGCGAGGAATGTGCATGCGCCGGTTTACATTTCTCCGCGAAATCTAAGCGAGAGATGCGCGCGTATCCAAAATTATCGGCCGACCGATTGTTTGTTTTCCCGCGGGAAACCATCCGACGACACATGATCGCGGAGACTTCGTGCCGGAAAGATCGACGCTTTTTGCGCGCGGTCGCGAGAGTCGAGCCTTTTACTCGGCGAGAAGCTTTTCAGAAAAGCTATTGAAAGAATATATATAATATATATAAATAAATAATAAATAATAATAATAATAATAATGAAAAAAGAATAATAATAATAAATAATAAACATATTATATATAATATATATAAAGAATATATATAATATTGCCGAATATTTTCAGGACCAACGATCAGATTTTGACAACGAGCGTACAACGAGGATTTTTTTACGACTGAAAGGTATTTCAATCCTTTCAACTCGAAGGCACCGCTACAAAGTGTTCCGTCATGTTCCAAACTAATTTTTAAAACGTCAACTTTTTTCAGCTCGGTGTATTATGTGGCCAGCGCTGGGAAAAAGATAGATTATTGAAACAGTAAGTAGAGTAGTATAAATATTTGTATCTTCTCATCCGACACAAAGTTGGCGGAACGAACTATTTTCCAAATGAAAGTTACATATGGAAACAGCATTTTAACACGTTCAATGCCACGGGGGCCACCGGTGACCGGCACTTAACTTGGCGGTGACGCCACGATGGGGACCACCGGTGACCGGCGCGCCCAAATTGATAGAAATATATATAATTTCATATATCTAAAATAATAATAATAATAATAATATAATAAAAATAATACCTAAAATAATAATAATAATAATAATAATAATATAATAAAAATAATATCTAAAATAATAATAATAATAATAATAATATATCATCGTGGCGCCGCGGACAATTTCTGTAAAACCGGCGTGGCATTCAACGTGTTAAATACATTCAACTATACGTAATATCCTTATACGTATAACTATCGTTTCAAAAAATGATTATTTCTCAGATTCTGTATCGCGCGAGAGAAGACGCAAACATTTATAGTCCACTCACCGTGTATGTAAAAGATCCATTCTTTTCCGGCCCTGATTACGGCACGTCGCGGACCTTCGCGCGCTTCGAATAAAAAAAGGTCGAAGCTGTAGCCGAAGAAACGGAAAGTCGCGGTGGGAATTGGGGGGAATATACGTTCGTGTTCGGTCGAAACAAAAACAAAACTCGGTCGGCTGGCAGGGGGGGGGGGGCGAAGCTACCGTTAACACCAGTTTCATAAATTAGCCCGCGGCCGTGCCGATATCTCCTTTAAAACTTGATCGAGACGCGGCAATCCACACGCTGGCCCGAATTCGTGCGGCTCTCGGGCGAGCGAGCACGTGCATCATCGGGTGGAAGAACCCGGCGGGCCGGCGGGCGGGCCGCGTACCCGCGAACTTCGGGCATGCACGAGTCCCGCGATTTCCAGGGATCTAGCACGCGCGCGCGCGCGTGACACACGCGACGCTTTCCACCGCGCCAGCGGCGTGAGCCAGAGGACCATGTAACCCATTAACCCCTTAATGCGCAGTTTTTTTGAAAAAGGCCGGCCAAAAAAGATCAATTCTTTTTAATGTAAAAGAACACAATTTAGAACGTTGTCTTGGCAAGAAAATTACAAAAATACAAAAATATTAAATATTTATACAATTGGTATGATTTCTAATTTTCAGAATATTACTATTATTATTATTATTATTATTGTTATTATTATTATTATTATATTATATTATATTATATTATATTTTACATTATATTTTAGTGAAATATATATTGAAAAATGAGCGAATCAGAATCTGAATATGAATACGCTGTCGGAAAGCGGCTCACAAGGAAGAAATAAGTCGTAAGTCGAAAGTAGAAAAAGGATATATTTTATACTTGAATAAGTAAGTGTTATATAGCTTACAATCCCATGTAAATAATAAGTATCAATAAAACGATTTTTTTTTTTTTGCTTTCACATTGTTATCTTCAATTCTCGATTGCATTCGAGCGTGAAAAATTATAGCAACACAAAGTACAACGCCGCTCGAATTGTCTCGAGTGTGCACAGCTTGGCCAGTTTAGCGCGCTCGAGTTAACTCGAGCGTGCTCGTTAAGGGGTTAACGGTTCTCGTCTTACTTTATTCTCCTTTATTTTCCAGCAGCCCGATACCGCTCTGACCTTGATGCCCACGTCGCATGCGAAAGAAAAGTGGAAAGGAAACGCAGGGCCCGCCCCGCCGGGTGGTCGCGCCCCTTTCTCCGAAGATATTTATCGTCCGGCTGGCTTATCCGATCGGGATCCGTTCTCTATTTCTCCGCGATTGGAACGGTGGCTGCGCCGGCGACGGCGGCGGCGCTGCGACGGAGGGGCGGGGAACGTCGGCCGATTAAAAACGAAGTCTCTGTTACACTTACTCGGTCGGGATCGTTCGCTCGCTCGGCCGGCCCAGGAGGGTTACCGATTTTCCACGTGCCGCCACTCTTTCACCGGATCCGGACACTTTCACTCGGCTGGATCAAGAAAAATCGTTCCCGATCTGTCGTCTCTCCGCGCAGGCGCACACATAATCGTCCAACGCACCCGTCCTCGGCCACGAGTACAACAGCACTGACCTGCCGTCACAGAGGGAGAAGAGAACGGACCAGGTAACAGAACCTCTCGACTGTTCCTCTCTTGCGTCCTCTTTCTTCTCCGACACTCTCCTTCGTCGCCTCGTTCCTTCTTTATTCCTGCCCCGGACCGCCCCGCCGGCCTCGCGCTCTCTCGCGAGCTCTCTCTCTTTCTTCTTCTCCCTCCCTCTCTTTCTCTCTCCCTCTCTATTTCTCTCTCTCTCTCACTCTCTCTATTTCTCTCTCTCTCCCTCTCCGGCTTCTTCTCGCCTTGTCTATCTTCCCGTCCTTCCTCCTCGTCCTCTGACCTTTCTCTCTTCTATTTCCTCTATCTTCCCTCTATCAACAGTTTTCTTTTCTCTTCTTCTCGTTTCTTTCCTCGTTTCTTTTATTCCTTCCGTCCGTTCGCCGTTTACCGATCTCTCCCTCCGGTTTCGTCCTATGCGCCGCGACCGTCTCCCATCGGTTTCTACACACGCCGGCGACTTGTTGGTTACCCCCTTTTTTTCTCCCTTCTTCGATCGGCAAAACAGTAGTGGTGTCGTGACGAATACAAATCCGTCATGCTAATGGAGAGACACGCAGAAAATATTATACTTTATCCCCGGTGCTGATGCTGAAGCTGATGCTGCTGATGCTCTGCTACTGCTGCTGCCACTGCTGCTGCTACTGCTGTTGGGGTTTCGGTTTTACAAACGCTGTCCCATTATGGGAGTCGACGGCGCAGCATCCGCTTCGGTCGGCAGACGGTTCACGCGTCGAAGTTCCTTATGAGGATATCCTGCTCAGAGGCTGGTGATATTTTAACGGAATAAAAAGCGTCGGTGACGAGCAAACTGCCACGGTGTCTCGTTATTTATTGGTCGTCGGACAAGATTTCGCCCGGATAAGAAATCCTCGGTGTCGATTGAAAGGCTGCGACCTCGGTCGTTTGTCGGTCGCGACGTGAAGATGGAAGCTGTTCTTAAAAGTCGGTCGGCCGATCGTTCGACGATAGCTTGTAAAAGCCAACGTATTTCCTATATCGCGTAGAATCGCGGAAAGAAATGAACGAACGTCGCGGCTGGATCGCGTGAATACATTTTTTCACGGCTTTTACAGCCCGACGAGCTGCTGGAGATCCGCTTTCAATAACATTATCGTTGTATACATTGTGACTTCCGCGTGCACCGGAAGTCGTTCACGACTCCCCGACAGGTCTCGCGATACACTGTCTTGCTAACATGCAAACGCGGCGAGACTATCGAACGAGTTTGTAATATCCTCGACCGTTAGTTCTGTCTGTGAATTGTGTAACGGTGTGCAAATTCGAAGACAGTTTCGGCCATTGGGATTTGTAGAGTCACAAGTTTAAACGGAAAAAAGAAACGGTATCCGAGATTCAACGAATCAGCTTTCCTCTGCTTCTTCGACGCCAGAAGCATGTATAGCAGGGTGTCCCAGAAATGTCTCGCAATCCGAAAGTGGCGGGTTCCTCGGGTCGTTTGAAGCAACTTTCTCCTTTGCAAAAATTTTCTCCGAGGCACCGTTAGCGAATTATTAACGAAAAACAGTGACCAATGAGAGGCGAGCTCGGCTGGCGCGAGGCGACCGAGCCAATGAGCGGAACTGGGCTTCGTGCGCTGGTTGCCTGGGCCGCCTCGCGTCGGCCGTACTCGATTCTTATTGGTCACTGTTTTTCGTTGATAACTCGTTAACGGTGCCTCGGAGAACATTTTTCTAAAGAAAGAAGTTGCTTCAAATGATATATATTATAATATATTATAATATATTATAATATTATATTATATTATATATATATATATATATATATATATATATATATATATATATATATATATATATATATATATTATATTTATTATTATATTATTACATTATATATATAATGTATAATAATATATAATATAATTTTTATCGAATTTCAGTACATCCTCGCCCGTCGATTTGCACTTCCGGCAACGAAGTCGTACGCGTACTTGCGACAACTGCTGCCGAAAGCTTGGAAAGGTACCGCTTTTGCGGTTTCTTTGAAAACGATCGGAAAGATCGTCTTATTTATTTTTCGCATTCTAAACCGGACTCTCCTGCCTCCTCGAACGCGAACGGAACAACATGTCGGAAGCGTTAATTTTTCTTCGATGGAACACTACGTGAAACGCGCACGTAGAGAAAGTTTACTTTCGAGGTAAACTTGCTCGGAGCACAGCCGATAACATAAATACAGAACGAAGAAATTCGTTCGATCGTTTCCCTTGTCGTTTAAAAAAAAAAAAAGAAAAATGTGGAGACATTAATTTAAGCATTCGTTTTGTCGTTTCATAAACATTCTCTAACGAGTGAACGAAGCAGTGCGAGTCCAATTTTGACCAAAATGATATAGTAGGTCGTCGTTCTCTAAAGAAAAAATGTAGTATTACAAAATCAAATAAGGAGGAAACGTACAGTGTCCCGCAAAAGTGTTCGTACACCTTCTTTTCGTTATTAGGCTTTCAGATGTAAGAAGATAAAAGACGTGAAAATTTTATTTTCTTTTTTATCGTTTTTAAGGTTATATTAGAAAAAGCTATTTCAGTCGTTCTCTAGTAGAGTAATCGTTCTGTCGCCTTAATAAAATTCAGCTGGTTTAATCCAGTTCGAACAACAATTATTGCTTCTTAACACTAAACAAACCGACCTGTAATGACGACTAGCGTACAACTCATAAGAGTGAAAAGATAGAATTCATGTGGGTTTTGTAAAGTTTTAATTACGAGACTTGTTTCAATAATATAATTTGTTCGATCATTCAAGAAGTCTCCCAAAGTTCGTAGTATCGTAAAATTAAAAAATCGGTCATTTCGACCGCGGTAGGTTTAGTGTTGAAACGTGTACGAACGCTTGCAGGTCACTACTGTTTTTTTAACCAGTCCGGACACCTGACGATCTCACACGACACAAATCTGTTTTGCCGCACAACGATCCCCGACGTCAACTAAACAGGGACACCGGGGAATTGTGAAACGAAAGATACACAACAAAACCGGCGCGGCGGCGATTCGACCGGCGGTGGTGGTTTCAACGTGAAAAGCAGCGATCACCCTCCCCCATCGACGCATCGTAGCACGGTAGATCGATCGATATCAACACCGAATAGAATAGGCCCTTACCTGATCGCCGCGGGTCCTGCTGCCTTTACATCGCCGTAACACCGGTAATCTAGCGGCTAGTAGCGTACGCGCAACGAAGTTCACCGTCTTCTCCCATAACCCCGTGTAGAGCATATTGCTCTCGCGCACAGAGAACGCATTGTTACGGTCGTCAGCTGCTGCTTCGCTTCAAACGAGTACTCTTTCTACATGGGTTGGAGGGAGGGGAGATCCACCGGGGTTCCGGGGCACGAGTTGCGGAGGGGAACTGCCGTACGCTTAGGAAGAGAGGGGGCTCCCATTCGTTCCCCTCTATTGTTCCCGACGCAATACGCATGGAATTTTCACCCGACCGATTGTCTCCGCAAATTGGGCATTCGTTGTCACCTATCGAGCATCATCGTCGCTTACGTTTACCGCGAAAATACGCTTCTAACGGTTTGTTTTTACTCTGCCGACAGTGGACTCGACAGTGGTCCCCGGAGAGCAGAGATACATCTATGGACAAGATAACGAAACATCCTGAAAATCGTCGGAACGAGGGCTGCGTATTCCACAGTTACATTCGACCCTCTTTTGTATAGCTGCACAATCGACGATGGCCAAGCATCGTTCGCAGCTTTCTTGATATTTTTCGCGGCACTTTTTTTGTTGCCTTCGTCAATCTTTCTGGTCTTCTGAATCTAACGGTTATGTTCGTATACGTATGTCGACTGTCACGAGATCGAATAATTTAACACGTTGAGCGCCTTGTCGATCACCGGTAATGACGCTTATAACTTTTCGTTATATAGTATCGTAGGAAATAATATTCTTTCTGTGTAAATAAATTTTTTCATTATTTGGAGATTATAATATTACTTGTTAAATATTACTAAATATTACTAATATTACTAAATATTACTTGTTACCGGATTGAAATTATTATCGGGCATTATTAAAACGGTATTCGCAGGGATCACGGAATATTGTAATGCGAGCTATTGCTTCTACAATAAGGAAACACGAACGGTGTACAAACTGTCTATGATCGACGTGTTAGACGCAATTACTTTCTTTATTAGTTCTTTTACACGCCTCTGCACTGTTATCGATCGTATCGCTTAGAAGAGACTTTTATGATCCTAAAAGTGACTAATGTGAGATTTACTTTCTCGGAAGTGAAACGTAACCGCGTGATGAACAGTTTATACGTTATTAGTCGTCGAACGATGAGTCGTATGGCTGTCGAATGCGAGGCGATTATTGCTGGGTCAATTCGGACCCATGATTTTCAACTCGTTCTTTTTCTTCCATAAGATACTTGCTTCGTCATCTATATTTTTATTTATTATTTTATTATTATATTATATATATATTATATTTTATTATTATATTATTTTATTATTATTGTGCATAAAATTTGATCGAAACTATAATTCTTAGTAAATACGGAAAATAAGGTATTGGTAATCGTAGAACTTGATCGTGCAGGTGCGGTATAAGATAAAACACAAATGCGACAACGTATTTATATGAAATTAATAAAACAAAAATTTCGTTGTATGTTCATTGCACATTTTTCATTGTACAAAATGTAACGTATTATAAGGTACGATAGAAATGAATTGATTTGAAATGCTTGTGCTCGCATTCTTCGTTCGATTGAAATCATTTTCCGCACCTGAGAAACGCATTTCAAGAAACTGCATATCGTCGATAACTTACCAATTGAATTCTCAACTCTGCGCGAAATACAGATGACGTGACTGATTTGCACCAATCTTCACGTACTTACGACCATACAAATCGATCCATTTGTTTACGGAGGTCGTCTGCTACTTCATCGTATTCTACCAGTGTTTTCAGATCAAATACTATGCTCTGAATTGAGTTTTTATGTGACTTTAAACAGGAACAGAGCTGCAATGCCGGGAACTGAAGTTAGTATCGTCAACTATCACATGAATATACACTTTAAATAGAAAATAGCATTAAGTATTTATTTGACAGTTCTATCTGTCAAACCGTGTTTTAGTAATGCTTTTTCACAAATTAACAAGAGAAACGTGTTTATTGAATTTAACGTTTGTTTTGATTCTTGCGTGTGTTCATTTATATATTTTATGGTGATCACTGAAACAATATATTGTTTATATAGGACAACCCGACGGAACTCGGGGAAATAGAGAATGTCAGAGTTGTGGTCCGCGTTCGACCTTTAAATGGAAAGGAGTTAGATGGAAATTGTAAAAACATAGTACACGTAGATACTATAAATAGTGAAATAACCGTTGAGAATCCTAATGCCGCGCAAGGAGAACCACCGAAAGTCTTCTCGTTCGATGCTGTATTCGACACTGATTCATCGCAGGTCGATGTTTATAATGAAACAGCAAGACCTATCGTCGACAAAGTTCTGCAAGGATACAATGGTACCATATTTGCGTATGGACAAACAGGCACCGGTAAAACTTATACTATGTCAGGGGCTAAAACATCTCCACAGCTTAGAGGTATTATTCCAAACAGCTTTGCGCATATCTTTGGATACATAGCTAAAGCTCACGAAAATCAGAAGTAAGTTTATCTCGTTTAAGGAATCTATTTCTGTAATATAGTAATTAATTGTAGAGCGAATTTAGGTTTTTTAATTGATTAAATGTCTGAAACAATTGTACATTAATTACAGGTTCCTTGTAAGAGCAACATACTTGGAGATTTACAATGAAGAAGTTAGAGATCTATTAGGTAAAGATCAAAATACAAGACTCGAAGTAAAAGAAAGACCTGATATTGGAGTATTTGTCAAAGATCTTAGTGGTTACGTCGTAAATAATGCTGATGATCTTGATCGAATAATGTCTCTTGGTAATAAGAATCGTAAGTATATTTTTAAGGACGATGAAGTTACAAAAATGACGGTATTGCAGACATTTTAGAAAGTATAACGAGCTATAATAACTTGTTCTTTCAATGTGCAGGCGTTGTGGGAGCTACAGCAATGAATGTATCAAGTTCTAGATCTCATGCAATATTTACAATCACAGTTGAATCTAGTCAACTTGGAGAAGATGGTGAACAGCATGTTAAAATGGGCAAACTACATTTAGTTGATTTAGCCGTATGCAATTTTTATCATTACTCTCCTATCTCTTTTTCGAACGACATATGCTAAATTACTATATTGTATCAGGGTTCAGAAAGACAAAGCAAAACAAAAGCTACCGGAGTCCGTTTAAGAGAAGCAACGAAAATTAATTTGTCACTTTCAACATTGGGTAATGTAATATCTGCATTGGTCGATGGTCAAAGTTCTCATGTGCCTTACAGAAATTCGAAATTAACAAGATTGCTTCAAGACTCTTTGGGTGGTAATTCGAAGACGTTAATGGTAATATTTTTATTTCTTCTTGGTAATTGTATTCATTAAATATTGTCATTAATTGTGTGCATTTATATCTAGTGTGCAAACGCGAGTCCGGCGGACATAAATTATGACGAAACTATAAGTACACTTCGTTATGCGAACCGCGCTAAAAATATTAAAAACAGAGCGAGGATTAACGAAGACCCGAAAGATGCTTTACTTCGTCAGTTTCAAGTGGAAATTGAACAACTACGCAAACAATTAGAAGAAAATGCTGCAGAGATGTCCGAATCGGAGGACGAATCCGAAGATTCTGAAGAAACAGGAGAAACTAAACAAGAAAAGAAAGCAAGGCGTAGACGAAGTCAAATATTAACAATGGAAGAGTTAGAAGACAGAGACACAGAATCTACCGAAAAAATTGACAAAGCTGAGAGAGAGGATAAAAGTCCAGACGACAAGGATGTTATAGAATTAAAGAAAACTCAGTAAGTATTTAAAACGTAATCTCTGCAGTGAGGCATATACAAGAGGTGTTGATTTTTTGTAGGAACGAAAAGGAAGCGTTACGAGAAAAAATGCAAAATTTACAAAATAAAATTTTAGTTGGAGGTGAGAACTTGTTGGAAAAAGCCGAGGCTCAAGAACAGCTATTAGCTGCTGCTGCAATTGAACTTGATCAACGTAAAAGCAGAGAAGAACAACTTAAGAAAGCTATCGAAGCAAAAGAAGCTGAACGCATTGACATAGAGGAGAAATATTCTTCTCTTCAAGAAGAAGCGGCTGGAAAAACGAAAAAATTGGCCCGTGTGTATACAATGTTAATGTCTATAAAAGCAGAATTGTCTGATTTACAGCAAGAACATCAAAGGGAAATGGAAGGGCTCCTAGAAGGTGTCAGAGGTATTGGAAGAGAGTTACAGCTTCAAGAATTAATAGTAAATAGTTACATTCCTGTTCAATATCAAGTATGTAAAATATATTAATATTTATAATATTTAATTTTACATATGTAGATTCATGAAGTTGATAGGACTTGCTTGCAATAGTAACGTTTCTACTTTCTTCAGAAAAGTAATTATTGCTCTGAGTTATGCATAATGTATAAATATCTGAATCAGATTACATTTATTCTATGTATACCTATGAAAGTCTGAGTGTCTTATTAATTTTTATCTAATTACAGACGATGATTGACAGTTATGTTCATTGGAATGAAGACATTGGAGAATGGCAATTGAAATGTGTAGCATACACCGGTAATAATATGCGCAAAGCACAAGCAACTCCACCCGTGGGAAACAACAAAGATGTAGGTTTTTATTTCTGATCGTACTGGGAAAACGAATGTAGAAGTATTTATACGATTTTTCATTTACAGCAAACACAACCAGATATGTCGAATATATATCTTTCTTATAACACTGGAATTGACAATACTTTTGCGCAACCGAAAAAGATAAGGGGCCGATCTGGAGTTCCAAGGCCAACTACTGCACATAAACGCACTCAGCATTAAAAGTATATTTAAACTATAAAGTGATAAAGATATTTATTTTTCACCGAGTACCTTTTTTTTAGTATTTTTTTCAGAGTATTATATTTATTTTTGTTTGTATCATTTGTATGAGAACGTTATACTACATGTACTTATACACTTACCCTTACTTTAAGTCGCTTGCGTTTAATCCTGTTTCGAATATTCTACAAAGGAACAGAATCTCGATACCTTCCATTATTATGGAAGTATATTATATAAAATTGCGACAATGAACCTTAGTTCGTATTGATTAATAATATGTATACATTCATCGTCTTGTGTAGATATAAAAAGAAGTTGTGAAAAATCTTATATCTGAAGTTATAATCAGTTTTAATAGAATCAAATCTTATTTTAGATCAATTTATTATTACTTATTAAAATTATAATATCTGAAATGAATTGTCATGATAGCAAGATTTTGTGTTTTCACGCATTTCTATGTCTCTCTCTGTCTCTCTCTCTCTCTCTCTTTCCATCTCTGTGATGTTTGTTAAATATTAGATGTCCAAGTTTAATTTAATAGTGAATATAAGTACATAGGAAGTACATTTTCATATTTAATAGCATGCAATCTAATTATTACTATTAATAAATAGAAGATTGGTCTAAAGACTTTAGAGTGGAACATATGTACTGTACCTGTGCGATAAGAAATAAAATAATTTGCTCTATATGAAGATATTAGGTACATTTATTAAAGGAATGGGAATGCAATATTTAAAAAATAATTGTTAGCAAACTTGCGTCTTTTTACATTGCCATTCGTATATACTTTAATAAGAATTAGATTTTTTAGCACNTGGTCTAAAGACTTTAGAGTGGAACATATGTACTGTACCTGTGCGATAAGAAATAAAATAATTTGCTCTATATGAAGATATTAGGTACATTTATTAAAGGAATGGGAATGCAATATTTAAAAAATAATTGTTAGCAAACTTGCGTCTTTTTACATTGCCATTCGTATATACTTTAATAAGAATTAGATTTTTTAGCAC